ACACACACACACACACACACACACACACACACACACACACACACACATATATATACACACACACACATATATATACACACACGTACACACACGTACACACACACACGTACACACACACACGTACACACACACACGTACACACACACACGTACACACACACACACGTACACACACGTACACACACACGTATACACACACACGTATACACACACGCGCACACGTATACACACACGTGCACACGTATACACACACGCGCACACGTATACACGCGCACCCGTATACGCGTATACACGCGCACACGCGTATACACGCGCGCACACGTGTATACACGCGCGCACGCGTGTATACACGCGCGCACGCGTATACACGCGCACACACGTGTATACACGCGCGCACACGTATACACGCGCACACACGTATACACGCGCGCACACGTATACACGCGCACACACGTGTATACACGCGCACACACGTGTATACACGCGCACACACGTGTATACACGCGCGCACACGTATACACGCGCACACACGTATACACGCGCACACACGTGTATACACGCGCACACACGTGTATACACGCGCGCACACGTGTATACACGCGCGCACACGTGTATACACGCGCGCACACGTGTATACACGCACACACACGTGTATACACGCACACACACACACACAGTATAACAGTATAAATACTGTGAAGCATCTCATCGTTTAGATACTTTAAGGACATTTTACTGATACACGTTTCACAGTTTTGTATTAATGCACGAGATGTTTGGCATCAACACAGCAGGAACATATTTAACATAAAACACTGATCTGGTTTAAGTGTAAGTTTACATTTATTCTTCTGTAGTTTTTAGATATTATTCAGAATCTTTAAGATGTATTTGACAAAAAGAGCAGAAATAGAAGCAAAGTCTCAATAATTACATTTATTCTTTAATCATTTAAAAATGTCAAACATGTATAATCACCACAGACTTCACCTTCTTCATCATCATCATCATCATATGTACTGTATGTTGTATATATGAACTGTAACAGATCCCACAAATGAAGCTTTCAAATACTGTTTGAAAAGAAATAAAATCTTTACCTGAAAGTTAAATGTAAATAGTAAAAAGTTTGAAAAGTGCTTTTATTCTAAAATATCTTAAATCTCTGTGTATTATTTCCCCTGTTTTAGTTTGAAGGGACAGGACAGGACGTCAGTGTTTGATATTAAATAAACAAACAAAGAGTGAAGGGGTCAGCTGGTGCTGAAATTGACAACGCTGCAAAGTCCCCTGAACGCACCGATGAAGAGTGTGAAGAGCAGAGAAGAAGATGATGTCATCAGTTTGTTTTATTAATGTGCAGAAAACATTTTGTGGATTTTTTTAAAGTGTTGAAACAGACGAATTCTGTTTTTTATTACTTTCCTATTAAAAAAGTGTAAATCCTAATTTAAATGTTATAGTTATAATATATTACGTTTACTTCTTACAACAGTAGAAAGTCCCGTCATTGTTAAATAATGTCCACAACTAAATGTGTCATCACTCCCTAAATATCCAACAATAAACAAATGAGCACTTTATGATACAGATGTTAGTTTCCTGGAGAGAACAATGTAGTTTGGTACGACATAAACATTTTGACTGAATGAAGTACAGATGAACAACATCTATTCTAGTTTGGTTTAAATGGAGCAGATATTTAAGAACATCTGAAGCTACTTTATTACAGTAGATTACAGTCAGTACATTGCTGACTAATCTGCTGATTATTATTTATTGATTAATTAAGGTTTTGTCATCATATGATGTCAAATTTGGAAAAGTTGTGAATTCTTACATTTCCATAAATTGGAAACTTTACATTTTTAGTGTTTTTGCTTTAAAAAGTGACGACCGATCGTTTTTACCGATTCATTGCCTTCATTCGACTCTTCGCTAACGTCTCCAACGTGTCACCCAAACCCTAGGACGTTCGTCCTTGCCGCTTGCCGTAGAAGCCGCCGTTCCGCTGCACTTCCTCCGTCGGACCACGAGGGGGGCCGTCAGTACGTCACGAAGTTGGCGGGGAAGATCCCGACGCGTCCGTCGGCCAGTCGGCCCTCCCACCAGTCGTACTCCGAGTCGGTCTTGGTGACGACGGTGATGCGGTCGCCGGGGGCAAAGCTCAGGTCACCGGGCTGCTGCCCGCTGAACGGGTGCGACGCCGTGACGACAAGCTGCCCGCTGGCCCCGCCCACTGACGATCCTCCACCTGGGGGGGAAATAATAAAACATATATACTTCTATCTAATTAATGACACTTTATTTAAGAGGAATAGTTTCATACTTAAGAACTAACTTGTTGACTCTGTGGTAGGAGTCTCCGTGTGTCTATTCATTCATTCATTCATTCATTCATCAGGGATTCATTATTCAAGTTACAGTGAAGAGCAGCACTGTAACATTAGGTCATGTTTCTACTTAGGTCATGTTTCTTTATACATTTGTACGCTTGTGAAAGTAATGAGGTCACTGTTCGATAGTTTTATTAAAATATATAAATATATATACATATACGTATATGTATATATACACGTATATGTCTATCTGATATCATGTGATGCGACGTCGTACCGGCATTTGGAGAGCTTCTGGAGGCGAATTGATCTGAAATAGAAAAAGTAAAAAAGTGCGTTAAAGATATTTTACATCAGTGTAAATTAAATATGTCTGAATTCTGGGCATTTGATTAATGAAACAAACAAACATCAGATTATTAATTTATTTAATTGCAGCTCAAACAGATTAACATCAAATTAACTGTAATTCTAATAATTAATATGAACTTTGTGTACTTTTATTAATATTGTTTTATTTAACAGCAGTTTGAAGCTGTGACCACTAGAGGGAGCTGCAGACACACACACACACACACACACAGTCACACACACAGTCAGTCACACACACAGTCAGTCACACACACACACAGTCACACACACAGTCAGTCAGACACACACACACACACAGTCAGTCACACACACAGTCAGTCAGACACACAGTCAGTCACACACACACACACAGTCAGTCACACACACAGTCAGTCACACACACAGTCAGTCACACACACAGTCAGTCACACACACAGTCAGTCACACAGTCAGTCACACACACACACAGTCAGTCAGACACACACACACAGTCAGTCAGACACACACACACACACAGTCAGTCAGACACACACACAGTCAGTCAGACACACACACAGTCAGTCACACACACAGCATTATTGATGAGTCGTGTTTATATTAACTGATTTATCAAGGTAGCAAGTTAATAAAAGACTGAATGAAAACACTAATCGATCATCTGTCAAAGGAGGCGAAAGAGGAAAGGAGGAGGTAGTGAAGGAAAGAAGGAGAAGGTGGAGGAAAGAAGGACATAGTGACAGGAAGAAGATGTTTAATGTCAAACTGCAGTTTTAATGTATTTATTTCCACAAATTGCTGAACATTTCCCAGAGAACTAATAAATAGTGTCATAAACATGATTAAAACAAGTATTTTTGATACTCTGAATATATAATTTAAGAACAATGTGGCCCCGGACCCCCCACCCAGAGGGTCCGAGGGCCCCCCCCCCTCCGTCTCCCTGGATGCTGGAGGAACCCGGTGATAAAGAGAATAAACGCAGCTCTACAGTGACATGACTGAAGGTTCTGTATCACAGGTCTAAGGAAAGGCATTCCAGACCTTCATCAGCTGTTGGTGCCCTTCTGTCCTCTTCCTCTAATTAAAGCTCTGATCACATACAGACACGCCCTCGTTCTCTATTCTTCCTCTTCACATCCATTTATCTCAGACGTGACGTGATAAATGCTTTTAAGTGTTTAACTGATCATCTGTGTAAGGGTGTAGGCAAAGGAGGAAAGGAGTGAGGAAAGGAGGTGCAAGAGGGAACAGAGGGGGTCAAGAAAGAAACAAGAAAATAATGAAGGATAGATATATGGAAGTAAAAAAGGAGAGGAGGAGGTAGTAATGGAAACTAGGAAAGAAATAAGAATGCAAGGAAGGGAAAAAATGTGAAGAGGGAAAGGAGATAGAAGTGAAGGGATTTAGGAAAGGAAATGTATATGAAGTGTAGGAAAGGAGGGCAAGGAGATAGAAAAGAAAGTGAAGTAAAAGAGTGGGATAACAAGTAAAGTTGGTAAGGAAGAAAAGGAGGCATAAGGAAAGATGAAGGAAAGAAGGAAGTAAAGGAGGGAGGAAATTGGGTAGTGATGGAAAGCTAGGAAGGAGGTACTGTATATAAGGAAAAGGGAAAGGAGGAGATAGTGGAGAAGACTAGGGGGTAGGAAGGGAAAGGAGGTGGTAACGAAGGAAAGAAGATGGTAGTAAAGGAAAAGAGGTGGCGGAAAGGTTAGAAGGAGGCATAAAAGGACACGAGGAGGTGAACATTTTCAGAGTGAAAAAAGTTTAACTCACCTGAAGTCTCAGATTTATAGACGGAGATGCTCGGGTAGAGGATGTTTTTACCCGTGTTGGTTGGCGGTTGCTGGTAGCCGGATGGCGGTTGCTGGTAGCCGGATGGCGGTTGCTGGTAGCCGGATGGCGGTTGCTGGTAGCCGGATGGCGGTTGCTGGTAGCCGGATGGCGGTCTCTGCGACGGAGCTGGAGGTCTGGATGGTGTAAAAGACGACTAGAGAGAGAGAGAGAGAGAGAGAGAGAGAGAAAGATATACATTTTCTTCATAACTGCTGATAAATTGTACTTTGAATTCTCTATAATTGTCCCAATAAAATGTATATTTCCACAAACGACAGAGCCTGAATTTGTTGCAACCACCTCAGCCCATTCCGTCCCTCATGTGTGAAGTCATAGATAATCTTTTGGTTGAAGCCGCAGACGATGATATTTACCTTTGGATGCATATTCTTGTTGGTCCAGTCGGTGGTGTAGGCCTCGGTGTAGGCCTCCAGGATGTGGTAGAGGTCGTAGCATTCCGACGGTGGCTCCACATCGCCGTTTAAAATGGCCGACGCACGGATGTCTCTCAAGTAGAACCTATAAGGACACATATGCACTCACATATTCAATAACTATATTCATGTGAACAACGCTTCAAATGAAGGTGGCAGTTGGTTGCCGTTCATACTTGCGGTTGGTTTCTTTGCGTTCGATGAGGCCGGATCCCTCCAGAGAAATACCAGCAAACAACCCTCTGGATCTACAGTAGGTAAAGACCGCAGTCGGGCTGCGAATAGCCACGTCAGCCTCCACGTTCCTGAACAATAGAAAGATAAAGGATGCCGTTACCCCTCTGCTAGTGGAACAACCAAAGATGAGCACTTCTAAATACCATCCACAGTATAACCTTTTTCTTTACAGTCCAACAGTGCTGTACATTTCTTGTTCACAAACCTTTGATGTTCTGAGGTGTTCCACTCGGCAGGATCCAGGGTCCTCTGTTTTTTGGTTTGTTTGTTTGTCAGCGCGATAACAGAAAACCTACTGGCCTGATTTGGAGGAAGGGTGTCGCATGAGCCGCGGGAAGAACCCAATTAAAAAAAGGAGTGGATCCGAATCACGGGGATACACTGCATTCTAGTCAAAGACCAATAGAACCTCCTCCCAGACCTAGTGAACCTGGGGTATTTCATATTTTTGTCCATGGTCTCAACTGGGTTGGTTTTTTTTGCTGGCATGTGACATATTTGCATTATATTTAGTCATATTTTCGTATCTTCTGAGTAGCTTTATTTGGCCTCGCGTAGCTTTGCTGTTCTATGCTTTTCAAAGAAGCTTCCTTTACATTGTATTAGGTGTTTCTGGGGAGATGAAACAAGGTACTGTGTCAACTCATGAACTCGTAAAAGTTCTTTTTGGAGGAAATCACAGTTTCTTAGCTCATTTTATTTTATGTCTTCAGCACACTTAGTTCACAGGTATTCAGATGTTTACCTGAGACTGAAATACCTGCTGCTGCTGGCCACACACACACACGCGCGCACACACACACACACACACACACACACACACACACACACACACACAC